ACTTCCCAACTTTAAAGAGAAAAGAAATTAAGTTTCAGCACAGCTTGGCAACCTTTGTACCGTTGTTCACTGCATTACTTTTCTCAACAAATTATGACACTGTCCAACAGATACAGCAACACTCAGTCTCCCACAATATAAGGCAGAATTTGTTATTTGCAAAGCTCTTAAACAAACCCCTATATTTTTACTCATTTCTGCACAATGAAACTGATAAAATAGAAGAGTTATATTCTACTGAAGAGAATGCAAGGGCAAAATGTACCTCTATGCTATCAACTGCAATTGGTGGTGCTGAGTCCTCCTAGGGCCTTGCTCTAAAATAAGCCCCTCAACATTTACCAGAAAGGGGTAAAAAGGGGCACAGAAGGTGCAGCCTGTTATTCCAGGCCTCTCATTGTAATCCAGGCTCTAAGCATCCACCAGCAATGAAAACGGAGAAAAGGTACAGACCTCTACCAGAAATCAGAAATTTTGTTACCAAAAATGGTTACTTCAGCCCATACTTTTGGTTTCTTTTCTTCTTCAGGGAAAGAAGATTCCCTGATTTCCGGGGGAAATTTGTCAGCTATTTTTCATGTGCTCTCATAGCCTGGAGTCTGAAGAAAAAGGAAGAAGACAGTAATTTGAAGAGAGAGTAGAATGGCTCCTTTGTGGCTTCTGGTAATATTGGGGTCATTAAAATATTTTAAAGTTCTATGAAAGTTCAGACTTTCTGAAAGCAGACACCACCACCAAACACAAGCTGCACAGATCCTAGCTCAGTCAGAATAGGGCTGCTCAAACAAATCCAGTGGAAACAGTTCAAATGGATCTGAATAAATAGATAAATAAATAAATAAATAAAACAAGCTTTACTTGGTATGATGAGACCTTCTTCTGTGGACACTGCAAAAAGAAACATTCAACGTGACTCCAAGGAAATGATATCACTACTTACAAAAAGCCTTTGTGTAGCTCCAAGGATTATCTGTCTTTCAGCAAACCTCTTACCAAGTCTTCTTGCCTTGCTTGAACAAGCTGAAAAGCCTGGGACTGTGAACAAGTGCAAGTACAAAAACTTGTAACCAAGTGCAAGGTCCTGCACCTGTTTCAAGTAAATCCCAAGCACAACTACAGGCAGAGAATGGCTTGAAAGCAGCCATGAGGAGAAGACCTGGGGGCGTTGGATGACAAGCTCAACATGAGCTGGGAATGTGAGGTTGTAGCCCAGAAATCCAACCATATCCTAAGCTGCATCAAAAGAAGTATGGCCAGCAGGGTGAGGGAGGGGATTCTGTACCTCTGCTCAGATCTTGTGAGACCCCACCTGGAGCACTGTGTTCAGTTCTGGGGCTCCCAACACCAGAAGGACATGGACCTATTACAGAATCACAGAATCACAGAATCACAGAATTGTCTAGGTTGGAAGAGACCTCAAGGTCATCGAATCCAACCTCCAACCTAACACTAGCAAGTCCTCCACTAAACCATATCGCTAAGTTCAATATCTAAACATCTTTTAAAGACCTCCAGGGATGGTGACTCCACCACTTCCCTGGGCAGCCCGTTCCAATGCCTAACAACCCTTTCAGTAAAGAAGTACTTCCTAATATCCAACCTAAAACACTCATGGTGCAACTTTAGCCCATTACCCCTTGTCCTGTCACCAGGCACGTGGGAGAATAGACCAACCCCCACCTCGTTACAGCCTCCTTAAATGTACTTATAAAGAGCAATAAGGTCGCCCCTGAGCCTCCTTTTCTCCAGGCTTAACAAGCCCAGCTCCCTCAGCCGCTCCTCGTAGGACTTGTTCTCCAGGCCCCTCACCAGCTTCGTCGCCCTTCTCTGGACTCACTCAAGCACCTCGATGTCCTTCTTGTAGCGAGGGGCCCAAAACTGAACACAGTACTCGAGGTGCAGCCTCACCAGAGCCGAGTACAGGGGGACAATCACTTCCCTAGCCCTGCTGGCCACACTGCTTCTTATACAAGCCAGGATGCCGTTGGCCTTCTTGGCCACCTGAGCCTATTAGAATAAGTCCAGAGGAAACCCACAGAGATTAATCGAGGGGCTAGAGCAACTGTCCTGTGAAGACAGGCTGAGAGAGCTGGGGTTGTTCAGCCTGGAGAAGAGAAGGCTCTGGGGAGACCTTAGAGCAGCCTTCCAGTGCCTAAAGGGAGCCTACAGGAAGGCTGGGGAGGGACTTTTTGTCAGGGAGTGTAGTGATAGGACAAAGAAGAATGGCTTTAAACTAGAAGAGGATAGATTTAGATTAGATTTTAAGAGTGTTTTTTTTTTTTTTTTTTTTTTTTTTCTCCTGTGAAGGTGGTGAGGCACTGGAACAGGTTGCCCAGAGAAGCTATGGATGTACCATCCCTGGAAGTGTTCAAGGCAAGGTTGGATGGGGCTTTGAGCAACCTGGTCTAGAAGAAGGTGTCCCTGCCCATGGAAGGGGGGTTGTAATGAGATGATCTTTAAGGGCCCTTCAACCCAAACCATTCTGTGATTTGTTGTGTAATCCTAGTCTCACAGGGATAGGAACACACAGCCTTTTTGCAAGAGCTCAGAGCCTCATCCAGAAGACTGTTTGTTTGCAAGAATCGTCAGTGGAGGGAAGCACAAGGGAAGGCACACTGTAGAATCCAAGAAAAGTCGTGTTTGGAAGGGACTTTAAAGATGATCAAGTCCAATCCCCCAAAACCAAACACCAGGGACCCTTCCCACCTCTTGGGACATCATGATTCTTGAAGGAGTCTGTAGGATGCAGAGAGTCAAAGTGAAAGGACACTGCCTTCATCCAATTATCCCCACGAATAATTTAAAAATCATATTAAACCAAAGGTAAAATAAACATTTAATAAATATTGAAATTAAAAAAATCATCCACTCATGATTGTCACTGATGACAAGAAGGTGCTTTGCTTTTAATACAGGTTGGGGTCACAGCTGAGTTTGAGGGAGCTTTTCAGAATCTGAAAACCAACAACAACCCTGTCAAAGTATTATTGAGTTCAATGCAGAAAATAGTAGTTTCCCATAAAACAATCCTAAAGAACTGAACTACCAGATCCTTAGCATAACTTTAGGATTTTGCGGTAACCCACTAATATTCTCAAGAATATATGCTGCACCAGCTTCAGACCAAAGCAGATGGTGCAATGTTTTCTATCCTCAAGCACCCACGAATTATAGGTAATGCACTCCCTAGATGAACCCCTGAGACCCTCTAGAGCCTGCTAGCTGCATCTCTCCACCAGTGCTGGTGTATCCTGTAATTTTATTCCTTTCTTTCTTTTCCCACTATTAAATCCATCCTGAAAGAGCAATTAGGAGTAATCCCGTGTCTGATATAAATGGGAGAGTTTCCTGCAGGACATACTGTAACCCATGATGGCATAGGTGGCCCTTGAGGGTTACATTTAAATGGGGCTCTCAGGTTTTGCTGCTAGTGTGTCTGCTGAATACACCCAGCTGTAAAAAGTTGTGCATATTGGTGTACAAATCCAGAACACATCCATATCCAAAGCACATTGTTTTTCCATATCATGGTGAACTCTTCTGGCAGCCACTGACCCTGTGTTTTGCAGCATATCCTCCACAGCCCTGTCACTGTGACAGCGGGGCTGGAGACAGAACTGTTAATAAAAATCCCATGGACTTTGAGACCCAGCAAGTTTTCTCATTCCTGGTACCCTAGAGCTGAGATTGGTGGACCAGGAGGTTTCTCCCATCCTGTCACCATAGATGCAGCCACTGCTTTTACCACTTACAGGTACAGCTGCTCCACTTCATAACTGATGCAAAGCGTTAGTGCAAGATTTTTTGCACAACGCTTTTGTGCATTGCTTGTTGCAAATATCACCCAATGTGTTGTCCACTGAATGTTGCTGTGGTGAGCCTGGGGAGGCTTCAGCGCCATGAAAGCCAGGCTGCTCTGGAGGAATTTGGTGACCCTAGGATCCCACCCTACCCCCTCAGCTTCAGAGCACCTCATGGGCACCTCACCACAATTCGGGTGCTAAGAGTTACAGCGGTGAAAATCCCACCTCAATGCAGCTCAATTTCAGCTTCATCAGCAGTTTGATGAAGCCGAAACACAGGACCAAGGTGGTTCTTCTGGGATGAGGGTGTTTTCCACCCCTGGCTGCAGGGATCACCACCATCCAGCCCAGCATTGCTGTGTCCAGGTCCACAGTCCCCAGGCTGGGATTTAGGAGAGACAGCTATAATTGAAAAGCATCTGTACACATTTCAGCTGCCAGTGTCAGGCTCTCGGCATGAGTCCCAGCTGCCAGGCACCACATCCACATTCCCTGTGCCTTTCCCATTCCCTTCATCCCTCCAGCCTGTCCAGCTCCCGCAGAGGGCTGGGGCCCAAATCCCTATGGGGTTTGAGCTTTGCTCAGGATCTGCCTACCCCAAGGAGAGATGCCAAAAAGTGCACATGTGGGGCATTGGGAGGAGTGGTGATGCCAGAGAGGGTGAAACCATAAAATATAGAATGACTCGAGTTGGAAGGAACCTTAAAAATCATCCCATAGGCAGAGATGCCACCCTGTAGATCATGTTGCTCAGGGCCTCATCTAACCTGGTCCTGAACACCTCCAGGGATGGGGCATCCACAGCTTCTCCAGGCAACCTGTGCCAGTGCCTTACTACCCTCTGAGTGAAGAATTTATTCCTAGTGTCTAATCCATTTCTCTCCAATGTGGAGATCAGGATGTCATGTGGGACCATGTCAAAGACCTTGCAGAAGTCCAGGTTGGTGACAACTCCATCAGCCAGTTCCCTCAGGACGCTGGGAAGCATGTCATCGAGCCCCATAGTCTTGGGTGCTTTCTTACCCAGGCGGATGTGCTCTAAGTCCTTGTGCTCTGAGGGAAACATCCTTAAGGAGCTGCCAGCTCTGCTCAGCTCCTTTTCCAGCAGACACTGGGTGCTGGAAGTCCCCCATCAGGATGACAGCGTGTGAGCATGGTGCTTCTTGTAGGTGAAGCAAGAAGGCCTCATCCACAGGCTGCCCTTGGTCAGGCAGCCTGGAGCAGACCCCGACCACAAGGTGTCCTTTATTGGTGTGGTCCATGACTCTTACTCACAAGCTCTCAGCCCAGCTACCTTACTGCCCACAACACTCTTGCCCCACCTGGATAGCTGTGCCCCATCCAGCATCATCACACCTGGCCCCTCAAAAATGCACCCAGTGTCACAGAACCCAAACCCTTGGGCATGGCACCAGCCTCTCAGCCAAGCATTCACTTGTCCCATTTGTCTCTTTCTTCCTGGGTTCCAGTCACCAACTGGGAGGCCAAAGGAGAACACTACTTGTGCTCCCCATCCCTTCAATATTTTTCCAAGGGACATAAGATCCTTTTATATATTTCAGAATGTCCTTGCTAGAGCATCGCCTTGCTACTTGAAAGTGTAGGAAGGTGTGGTGGTCTTTCGGACCCAAGAGAATTGTTAGCCCTAATATCATGAATCTGGACCCCAGGCAGGCAGAAATTCTCTGTGGAGAGATAGTCTGGACGGCAAATGGGAGCCTTGGTGCCTCTTGTAGACGAGTCTCCAATGACTTAACACCCTTCGTGCCTTCTTTGTGGCACTGGTTTGGATGCAGTTGGGAGAGACTGAGTCCACCCTGTGTGTTGGTCTTTCTGAGGTCTTTACTATTTCTCCCCGAGTCTCCTTTCTCCTGCCTTAGGACCTTATTTCTATTGTGCAGGGGCACTTCAGGGGCAGGGGGAGGTTTCTTTTCCAGCTCTGATCAGACAAGGGTCTGCTTTTCCTTGTCTTGTGAGTCCAATACCCTTCCAATACCTCGCTCTGCAAGCATGGCACCCAGAGGAGATTCAGGGCTTGTGGGAAAACATGGTTATAAAAAGGCAGAACAACAGAGAATTTTATTAACTTTCAGCATCTCAGCACCTCTCCTTCCTCTGTGCAGCGGGGCTCCTCTCACTTGGCAGGAGATCACAGAACCAAACAATGGTTTGGGCTGGGAGGCACCTTAAAGACCATCTCTTTCCAGGTGCCCAGGACACCTCCCACAAGACCAGGTTGCCCAAAGCCCCATCCAACCTGACCTTGAGCACTTCCAGGGATGGGGCATCCCCAGCTTCTCTGCATGACCTGGACCACTGTCATCATGAAGTATTGCTTCCTAAGATCTAATCTAAATCTACCACCTTTTATTTTAAAGCTGTTACCCCCTGTCCTATCTCTACACAACCTGATAAATCCCTCCCCAGCTTTCTGGTGGGCTCCCACGAGAGATGGGAAGGGCTGGCATGCCAGTGGCAGCATTCAGCACCCCTCTGGGCTCCCTGGGCAGAGCAGGGTGAGCCTGGAGGGAGCAGGTTTTTTTTGGCCAGCTGACACGCACTGGGCTCACACCAGGTGAGCTCCACTTTGGTGCAAACAGCCCAGACCACAGTGGCTTCACCTCTGGAACCCCTCTGCTGACATCTGCCACCCTTCGAGCTGCTGATGCCCATTCTCCTGACCCCCACCCCACCTCCTCCACATCCAGCGCCATCCCAGCTCATTCGCTCTGCTCTCTTCAGACTTTTGTATTACCCAGTCCTCGTGGTGCAGATTATCCTGCCTGTGGCAGAGCCTTGCATAGCTCAGAGGGAGCTGAATCCCACGTTGATCAGGTTTCCGTCAAGCACTAAATTCGCCCTGCGGCTCCTCCCAGCCCAGCTGTGTGCCTGGAGGGCTCATGCTTGGTTCTTCGGCTCATTAACCCCAAGGAGACTGCTTGGCATCTTAACTAATTACAGCAGGGATGACAGCCTCCTCACACACACGTGTGAGTAGGGGAGGTTGGACCCATTTCTGGGTTCCCCTGCTGTTACTGAGCTGTTTTTGCAGCTGCTCCTACCAAGGCCTTGAACCAGCCTTAATGATTTCTGACTGATTGCTCTCTTCCCACTTATCTGTCAACCTTTGGCTGCTTTTCCCTTGGCTTCTCCTTGCCACCCTAGCACATGTGTTAATCAGGCATTTTGTCATCATGAGTGATGTTCATTAGCAGCAGGCGAGGCGCTGAGATGGGACTGGCATCCCTGACCCCCCTCCTCCTCCCCGCCAAAAATGCTGCCCTGAGCATTTCTTCTCCTTCCCTTGCCTGCAGCACTTTTCTAGCACTGCTTGCTGCCTCTGACCCTTACACCCAGGGTGCCGCGTGTGGACCAAGTTTTCACCCCAGCCCACAAGAAGACCCTGGCCCAGACCTCAGAACCCCCCTTGCTGCCTGTCCCCGTGGCTGATGGAGATGCTGACTAGTGGCACAGGGCGAGGGTACCTGCGGGTGGTGTGGGTACACCCTCCCCGCTACTGCAGCTGCCATCACCCTGCTCCCCAGCACCTGCAGCATCCCTCACACTCCCTCCTGAGCCACTGGCTGGGGCACAGCCCTGGGTAATGGGGACCTGGGGGCTGCCTGCTGCTGCCTCCTGCCTGTCGCCACCATCCAGCCGAGCCCCGGTGTCCTGTGCTGTCAGCCACGGCAGGGACAGGTATTTCTGTACCTCGATGGCTGGGCTCCGGCGGTCAGGGTCCAGCCTCAGCAGGCGACGGAACATCTCCTGTGCCCCATAAGCAAAGCCCTGCCAGGATGGAGGCGCCTCCCGCCCCTCCGCACCGCTCTGCCAGGCACTGAAGTCCTCAAACTGGGGGTCAGGGCTGGCAGCCACAGCCCAGGGGAAGCAGCCAGTGCAGAGGCAGAAGAGCAGGACGGCAAAGGCCCAGACATCGAGGCTGGAGTCCAGCTCCAGCGTGTCCGAGCCCTGGAGCAGGCAGAGCTCTGGTGGGGAATAGGGCAGGGTGCTGGACATGGCACGAACGGCAGAGCCCTGCAGGCGGGTGAGCCCGAAGTCACCCAGCTTCACCCGCCGGCACTCACGGTCGAAGAGCAGCACATTGTCCAGCTTGACGTCCCGGTGGACCAGGGCCCGGCTGTGCATGAAATCCAGAGCCTCCGCCAGCTGGGAGGCGCAGCGTTTCACCAGCACCTCCGCCAGACCCTCCTGCAGGAACGTCAGCACTGTCACCACCTGCCACAGGGCGTGCTGCAGCCCCCAGCACCCTGACTGGTACCACCAGCATGGGCTTCACCCCATAGCAGCCCCCAGACACATCCCCGTGCTGCCAAGTGTGTCCCAATTCACAACAAGAGGTTGGTTGGGGTAGGGGTAGGGGTAGGGGTAGGGGTAGGGGTAGGGGTAGGGGTAGGGGTAGGGGTAGGGGTAGGGTGAGAGTTAGGGTGAGGGTGAGGGTGAGGGTGAGGGTGAGGGTGAGGGTGAGGGTGAGGGTTCCTGCCCCCTCCCTGCACCCCCTACCAAAGCCACCCCAGTACCTTCTCCTCCCTATTCCCTCCCCAGCAGCCCCCCAGCAGCCCCCCAATCTTTGTCAGAGTCCCTGAACTTCACGCACCCCTGGGGTGAGGAGGGTGCACAGGTCCCCAGCAGGAGCGAGCTCCTGCCCGAAGGCAAAGTGCGTGGCGCTCTCGAAGGCGACAGGCAGAGCACGGATGCAGGCAGCATGGCCAGAGAGGCACAGGGCGATGCAGTACTCCCGCAGGAACGCCCTCCACTCCGTGTTCTCCTTCAGCATCAGCTTGAGGACCACCGGTGAGCCTGAGAAGCGTGGAGAGGGTCAGCAGCTCGGAGGGATGCTAGGGGTGAAGTGGCCACGGGGTGAATCAGGACAGGGACCCCCCCAAAGCTCCTCACCACCATCCCGGGGCTCGGTGAGCACCACACGGCCGTAGGTGCCGCTGCCCAGCTCCTCCAGCACGGTGTACTGCTCCTCCAGCTCCTGCCGTGGCACGGCCTGGCCCGTCTGCACCATCAGCTGCTCCAGGAACACCTCGTTGTCCTCCCCGTCCTCCTCTGACTCCTCCATGGGCCCTGCAGAGCCAAAGCACCCCACGCTAGTGTGATGTCCCCCCCCCATCGCACACAGGGGAAGCCTGGGGACACCCAGCTGGTGCTGCCCAGTCCAGTCCAGCTTAGTCCAGCTGAGCGCAGCCCACACCAGTACAGCCCTCTTCAGTCCCATTCAGCTCTCCCAGCCCAATGCTGCCCAGTCCAACCCAGTCTAACCCAGTCCAACCCAGTTAGCCCAGTCCAGCCCACTGCTGCCCAGTCCAGTCCAGTCTAGCTCAGCTCAGTCTAGTGAAGCGCGAGGTCCAGTCCTCTTCAGTCCATCCCAGTCCTGCTCATTCCAGCCCAGCCCAGTCCAATGCAGCCTAGCCCAGTCCAACTCATTCTAGCCTAGTCCAGCCCAGCCCAAACCAGTTAGCCCAACGCAGCCCAACCAGCTTGCTCTGCCCCCACGGACAGCCCCACATCCCACCCCACATCCCCCCACAGCAAGGGGTGAGTGCTGGCTCTGCCCTTTGCCCACTCCCTGCCCTTCTCTCCTCCATCCTCAGCTGTGAAGCAGGACCCGGACCCTTCTCCCATCCCGCTGGCTGCAGCCCCCTGCACCGGCACAGCCACAGGGGAGTCACAGCCACCCCCGGGGTGCACGGGGCAGGAACAACAGCCCTGTTCCCCCCTCCCTGTCCCCCCGCCAAGGGGGCTGAGCCATGCAAGAAAGCCGCAGAGCGAAAGCCAGCGTCTGCTGGGGTTGCACAGGGACGGCCCGAGCGGCGTGAGGCTCACCGGTGTCTCTGCGCTGTCCCTGGGGCACAGCGCAGTGCCACCGGCCCCGCAGCCGCCCCGGAGCCCGGAGCCGTGACTCAGATTTTCCTGCGCTCTCCGACGCCGCTGGACCCAGGGCAGCGCCGGCCCGCGCTAATCTCTCCCGCTTGGGCTGGGAACATGTGTCAGGCGCAACGCGTGCCGACCTCCAAACATAGGCAGGGGCAGGACGGACGGGGCATTGCGTGGGGACAGACGGACAGGATGGAGAGAGGCACGGGGGGATTGACGGACAGAAGGGAGTATGGAAAGGAAAAGACAGACGGGGCAGTCCAGGTGGGGACAGGCGGGATGGAGCACAGCAGGCAGGGGCACGTGGAGCATGGTGCATGGCCAGGTGGAGAGAGCACCGAGGGCATGGACAGACAGACAGACATGGGGCATGGCACGGGGGGAACAGACAGGTCTGGGTGTGTGGGTGGGTGGGCAGACCTGCGGGAAGGGACAGCCGAAAGAAGGAGCAGAGTGTGGGGGGGACAGATGGACAGGGAGCTGTGTGGGATGGATGGATGGATGGACAGAGCAGAGGACAGCTTGCAGGGGCGGCTGGACGAAGTGTGGTGTGTGGGACAGGCACCCTGCTTGGACGGATGGACGGTGCAGGGATGGACAGACACATGGCATGGAGCACTCTGTACCAGTGCACTGCTAATGTCAGCATGAACGTCACAGCTCCTCGACATCCCCAAACCACTGACTCCCCCACAGGACACCTCCAGCAGCACCCCCCACGCCGTCACTCCCCTGTCCCCTGCTTGCAGCAGCTCCCTGGCCACTGCTACCACCCCACAAAGCCACAGCCCCAGCCTGGCCAACACTTGCTGCATATTTGTCCCTCCTCTGCCTCAGTTTCCCCACTTCCATGTCTGGCCCCTTCTGTGCCCCCTCCCCAGTGTCTCACCACACTGCCCCCTGAGGTTTGCCCCTATTCCCATGGAGGTTTGCCCCACTGGTCCTATGGAGCTGTGGGAGCAAGCAGTGGGCACCAGACCCCCCAGGTGTGGGGCAGGACAGTGCGGGGACAGGTTTTGGGGTGTGTGCAGGGATCAGCCCCAGCTGATGGCCCAAAGATGGGGGGCACTGACCCCAGGCTGACACCGTCCCCGCACAGAGCCCCCTCTGCCACCATCCCTGGCATCCCCTCCCTGCCCACAAGTGGCCCCGTGTCCCACCACCCTGACTCACATCTGGGCCCCTCTGCAGGAGCACTCCCGGGGTCTATTTTGAGCTGGGGCTGGCAGATCCCTGCTGGTGGCACACACACACACACACGTGTGCATGTGTGCGTGCGCGTTGCCCTGCCAAGGAAACAGTGCTGAGACGCAGAGCACCCAGCACCCGTAGGGGCAGGAGGAGCAGGCACCAGTCAGGCTTTGCCCCACAGGAGATACCAGGGGCCCCTGGGTGCTGCTCTGTGCATAGAGGGGGTGGCACTCTGGCACCGGGTGGGGGGAGCAGAGGGTGTGAGGCTGGGCTCATCCCTGCACCTGCTCAGCGCCCCAATACCAAGCCCACCCCACAGATGCATCCCCGAAGCTGCTCCTTCCCTGTGCCCCTGGGATGTGCCTGCCTCCTTCCTCCTGCCCCAGTTCCCAAGCTGTATCCCTCCCTCTCCCCCTTTTCCCATGTCCATATCTCCCCTATCCCCCTGTTCCCATGTCCCTTCCTCTCCCTCTTTTCCCGTATCCATACCCTTTCCCCCTTCTCCCCTGTCCATACCGCTCCCTTTCCCTCTTTTCCCACACCCACAGCCCTCTTTCTCCCCTTTTCCCCATGTCCATTATCCCTCCCTCTTCCCGATTTCCCGTGGCCTGCTCCCTCCTCCCCATTTCCCACATCCTCATCCATATCCCACTCCCCAGTTCCCACGACCATATCCCTGCCTCTCCCCGAGCCCCCTGCCCTGGGGGTTGTTGTTTCTCCCTCTCCCTCCCCACCTGCTCTTTCCCCCCATCCCAGCTGCTTACGGCTGCCCTGACCTCGGCCCGCTGGGAGGTAATTAATACTTGACAGCACATTAACAGGACCCGCTTGGCACGTGGCCGGACGGGAGAAGGTCACATAACCCCATCACTCACCCTGCCCTCTCTGTCCCCAGTATGGGGAGCAGAGGCTGCTGCTGGGGTTGTTCCCCCTGCCCTGGAGCAGTGGTTTTGGGGCTGGCCCCCTGAATTGCCCTCCTGCCCTGCCAGGAACCATCCCCAGGGGCCGGTGCCAGCCCCACGGCTTCCAGCCCCACCAGCACGTCTCCGGCCCCGGCGGCATGCAGAGGATGCAGAGGACAGGGACAGGCAGTGGCCTTTGCTGGCCAGGTCCCCAGTGCGTGGGAGGGAGCGTGGTAGCCAGGCTGCGGGGGTGGCCGGGGGCGGAGGTACCAACAGCTGCGGGGGCACCGAAATAGCCGGTGGGCAGCCGGGCCAGGTGGCGAGAGCTCAGCCCCGTCCCTGTCCCTGGGCTGGGGACAGAGCCCGGCATGGCCCCATGCTGCAAGAGGAGCCGGGGATGTCCCTCTGCCCCCGATTTGTCCCCTGTCCCCTTCTACTTCCAGGGAAGGGGACAATATCCCCAATAAACCCACCACCCACAGTCCCCAGCTGCTGCCCCCAAGCTCATTGCCCCCCCGGCCCCCATTTCCAACTCCCTGCCCCTCTTCTCCTCCAGCCCCCATTGCCCCCCTCCCTGCCTCCTTGCCTTCCCATTGCTCCCCACTGCCCCACTCAATGCCCCTCTGACCTCCCCAGGCCCCACTGCCCCACTCCATGCCCCTCTTCCCCCCCACTACACTGCAATCCCCCAGTCCCAGCCCATCTGCTCCCCACTGCCCCGTGCCCAGCCCCTGTGCCCCCTGTGGAACCCATTACCCAACTCCCTTCCCCTCTACCCCCTCAGTTCCCATTACCCCACTCCCTGCCCCTTTGCCCCCCTGGTTCCATGACCCCACTCCTTGCCTCTTTGCCCCCAGTTGCCTGCCATTGCCCCACTCCCTGCCCCTCCCCGTCCCTATTGCACCACATCCAGCCCCCCTGCCCCCATTATTTTTTCCCCCTGCCCACTCCCCCCCCAACAGGGCAAGGTCTGGCCCTGGCCCCACGGCTGAGAGCTGCTGGCGGGCAGCCGGTCCCATCCCCCGGCTGGGCTGGGTGCCGGGAGCAGACAGGTGGCTGGCGGGATTAGCGCTAACGAGATGTTTCATAACAGGGTCAGGGGGCCGCGGGGGAGGGCCTGGGCAGGGGGCCAGGCTGGGCATGGTGCCGCACCTGGGGTGGCCAGGACCCCTGCCCCACGCCAGACCCCCACCCAGCACACAGCACGAGAACCCACAGCATTGTCTCGGTGTTACAGCTGCTCTGCCTTTAATAACGGGGCAGGGGGCATCAGGGGCTGCAGCAGGAGCTCCCACGCCCACCGGTGGGCTTTGTCGGGGCAAAGACAGCCGTGAGCAGGGTCCTGTTTGGGTTTGGGGTCCCCCCGCTGGAGGCGTTGCAGGACGTGATGGCAGCAGGGATGGCCATGGGCAGAGCCGTGGTGCTCAGGGGTCCTGTGAGGAGAAAAGGCTGAGCATGGCCACATCCCGCCCCACAGGGCCCTGTGACCACACCAAGCCTCGCACGGGGCAGCAGGGACGGTGCCGCACCTGGCAGACCACGCCGACATCCTCGTCGTGGGTGCAGTCGTGGTACCCCCAGGCTCGGTGGGCACAATCCTGCAGGGTCCCCTCCTGGCCCCGGCACCGCACGTCATCCAGCCAGATGCGCCCGGTGCCGGGCCCGAAGCGTGGCCGGTCCCCAAGGAGCTCTTCCGGCACCTCCCTGCAGCCCAGCTCCTGGCACACCACAGCCGCGTTCGCCGCACTCCAGCCGTCGTCGCACACCGTGCCCCAGCTCCCGTTGCGCTGCACCTCCAGCCGCCCCGCACACCGCCCAGGGCCCCCGGACAGCCGCAGCCCAAATGGCTCTGCAGGACGAGATTTGGGGTCAGGCCAGGCCCAGCCAGACCCTCCCCACTCCAGGACGAGTGCCCTGCAGCCTTCCACACGCTCACCCTCACAGTCGACGGCAGCCAGCCGGTCTGAGGGGCAGGACGGGGCGTCCCGTGGCTGCAGGACGCAGTGCGCCAGGGCCGGCTCCTGCCCCGAGCACTGCACCCACTGCAGGGTCACCGGGGGCCCGTCGGCCGCCGGGGGGCTGCAGGGCGCGGGGATGAGGCGGGGGCGGCCGCAGCCCAGCTCCCGGCAGAGCACGCGGGAGGCTGCCCGGTCCCAGCCTGAGGCGCAGATGGAGCCCCAGGCGCCGTTCTGCAGCAGCTCCACACGCCCATGGCATCGGGACCGGCCACCCACGAGCCGGACGGGCACTGTGGGGGGAAGAGCGCAGCAGGGATGCATAGGGAAAGGGGTCCCAGTATCCCCAGTGCAGTCCCCAGCTGTCCAGAACGGCCCTTGTACAACCCCAGCAGAGCCTGCCCACAAGAGCCCCAGTCTGCCCAGTACAGCACCAGCTCAGCCCCAGCATCACCCCAGTCTGCCTAGCACAGCACCAGCATGACCCCAGTCTGCCCAGTATGGCCACACTTTGCCCAGAAGAGCCCCAGTCTGCTCAGTCCAAGCCCTCCCCCCTATTGCCCCTGCCCCAGCGCCTGCCACATCCAGCAGCTGCTGACCCCAGGGCACACAAGTGGCACCCAGGGGACACCCCCCTCCCAGTGACACCCAGCAGCACCCACGTACCAGATCCAATTACGGCGCCGCAGCACAGAGCTGGAGGGTGAGAGGGAAGAGTTGTAATGGGATAAATGGGACAAAGGCACCAGTACGCATTCCATTAACCCCCCCCTCCCAAGGACCCTCCCCAGCTGACACCCCCATGTGCCCTCAGCTCTACACCCACCCCCCCCACATACCCCCTGGCTCTGTACCCCACTATGTGCCCCCCACCCCCCGGTACCTCACCCAGGCATAGCCCCAGTCCGTGCAGCCCCCCCATTTTGCCAGCCTAGGGTCCCTCCACCCCAAGGCCACCCTTTTAACTAAAGTCCTGGGGGTGGGAGGTGGGGCGGAGGCTGGGGGGAGGAAGTGAAAGCCAAGGGGAGGAAGGGGAATGGGGCAGCAGCCAGGCAGGCGCCAGGGGAGGGCAAGCTGGGAGGGCCCCAGATGGGGGCTGGAGGTGGGGAACCCCAAAAATGTGGCAAGGAGGGCACAAAAGGGATTGCCAGCCTCAGGAGCCTTGGCCCCGGCCTCCCTGGGGGGCTGCGGGGGGAGATAGGTGAAGGAAAGGGCAGCAGGACACAGGGGGGGCAGCATCCCAACAGCTCCACGACTGCTGTGGGCACCCTAAACCTGCACAGGGGGGCAGACCCAGCAGGCTGGGGGGTGCCCAACACCCCCTCCCCAGGACCACAGTGGGTGTAGCCCCCATACCCTCCCCCCCCCAAAAAAAAAAAAAAACAATGCTCGAGAGGATTTGGGGAACCAGCCCGGCTTTATTTCACTTGCAGCCCCTACAAAGACCCCCCCGGGTGCCCATGGCCCCATAGAGCTGGGGGGGACCCCCCAGGAGGTGCTGGCCGAGGGCAGACAGCCGGCCCAGGCGGCGGGCAACAGCCTCCAGGCGCTGAGCTCCCCGCCGCTGGGCACGGGCCAGGGCCCGCAGCTGCCCCCGCAGCCCCCGCACCTCCCACAGCAGCACCTGCAGCAGGGGGGCCATGCAGGGACCCCCCTGGCCCCCCACTGAGGGGGGTGTTGGCACTGCTGCTGGAGCTGGACCTGTGGGGAGAGAAGCAGAAACACAGTGTGTTTCATTGTGCCCCCCCCAGTCCCAAGCCCCTCAACAACCCCCCAGCACTGGGAGCCCTCCCAAGCCCATCTCAGGGGTCCCAGGCAAGAACTGCTGCCCCCCCCCATCCCATCCCATAGACCTACCTGCACATGGGGGCCCAGGCAGCATGGGGCTGTCGGGGGGGATGTGGAGGAGCTCTGTGGGTACTGGAAGGGTCTGGGTGCCAAGGGTCTCCATAGGGTGCTGGGGGGGTTCTGGGGGTCCTTGGGTGCCAAGGGTCTCCATAGGGTTCTGGGGGAGTAATGGGGGTCCCTGGGTGCCAAAAGTCCCCATAGGGTGCTGGGGAGGGATTGGGGGTCTTTGGGTGCCAAGGGTCTCCACAGAATGCTGGGGAGGGATTGGGGGTTGCTGGGTGCCAAGGGTCTCCACAGGGTGCTGGGAGTATGGGGGGGTCCTCTGGGTGATGAGCAACTTTTTGGTGTGCTGGGGGGGTGCTGGGGGTCCCTGGGTGCTGAAGGTCTCCACAGAATGCTGTGGGGGTGCTGGTGGGCCCTGGGTGCTGGGAGGCTCTGGGGATTGCTGGGGGAGTGCTGGGTGGGTGTGGGTGTCAAAAGTCCCCGTGGGGTGCTGGGTGCGTGCTGGGGGGGTCCAGGTGCTGGGGGGCTCTGTTGGATACTGGAGGGGTGCTGAGGGGCTCTTGGAGCTGTGGGTGTCAGTGAGGTTCTGGAGGGGTGCTGGGGGGGTTGGGGTGCCAAGCAACTTCACGGGGTGCTGAGGGGATGCTGGGGGGCTCTGGGAGATGGGGGGCTCCATGGGATGCTCTGAGGGGGCAGCAAGCGTGTAAGGGCTGGTGGCACCTGGGGGGAGCACGGTGAGTGCTGGGGGGCTCTGGGGGCTGTGGGTCCTTGGTGTGGTCTGGGTAAAGGGGACTGGGGGCATCCAGGAGCTGGGGGTCTCTGCAGGGGGGTGCTGGTGGAGCACAAGCTCCATCCAGGCAGGGGGTGTCTCCACAGCATGTTGGGTGTGTGCTGGGGGTCCCTGGGTGTTGGGGGTCCCCTCGGGCCTCTGGGTGGGTGCTGGGAGTCCCTGGGTGCTGGGGTTCCCTGGGGAGCTCTGGGTGGGTTCTAGGGGTCCGTGGGTGCTGGGGGTCTCCTCTGGGTACTGGCTGGGTGCTGGTGGCTCCTGGGTGCTGGGGGGCTCTGTGGGGCGCTGGGAGCCAGGACCCAGTTGGACTGCAAGGGCAGGGGGGCTGGCTGGCCACAGGGTGGGGGGCAGAAATGAGGGGGGTGATGGAGATGTGGTGGGGGGCACAGAGACCCCAGTGAGGCCCAAGCCTGCGCCAGCACCTGTATGGGGAAGGGACACAGAGTCCATGAGACTACCCCCTGTCCTTCCCCTCCTGCCCCCTTTTCTTTGTCATCTCCTCTTCTTCTGCCCCTCCCTCTCAAATCCTTCCACCCAACAGCAGCCCATCCCATCCCATCCCATCCCATCCCATCCCATCCCATCCCATCCCATCCCATCCCTCTCCTCCTCACCCCTATGCACCCATTGCTCTTCTGTTCACCTGCCCTCCCTCCCCTTCTCAACAACAGTTCACCCATCCACAATGCTCCCCATGTTACCTTCTGGATCTGGGCTTGTTGTGGGATGTGTGCTCCAAACGGTACCTTCTGGGCCTGGTTCTGATTTGGGATGTGTACTCTCCATGGTGCCTTCTAGACCTGCTTCTGCTGAAGGATGTGTGCTCCTCGTGGTTCCATTGAGATCAAAATCATCTGAAGAATTGGTCCCCCACGTAGTACCATCTAGACCTGATGCTGTTGCAGGATGAGAGCTCCTCATGGTCCTGTCTGGATTTGGTTCTGTTGAAGGGTGTGTGCTCCACGTGGGAACAACTGCTGTGGGACGGGCACTTTGTAAGGTATCAGCCAAGCCCAGTTCTGCCGAAGAATGTGCACTCTGCGAGGTGCCATGTAGACCTGGTTCTTCTGGAGGATGTGTGCTCCATGTAGTACCTTCTGGACCCAGTTCTTCTGGAAGATGTGTGCTCCTCATGGTACTTTCTGGACCCAGTTCTGCTGCAGGATGTGTGCTCCTCATGGTACTTTCTGTATCCAGTTCAACACCCAATGTGGTACCTCCCGGACCTGGTTCTGCTGTGGGATGTGTGCCCCATATGATATCAAACAGGCCCAATTCTGCTGCAGGACTTGTGCTCTGTGTGTTGTCTTCAGGATCCAGTCCTGCTGTGGGATGCGTGCTCCTCATGGTAGCTCCTGGACCTGGTTCTGCTGTGGGATATGTGTTTGTCATGGTATCTTCTGGACCTGGTTCTGCTGTTGAATGCGTGTGCCACATGGCACCATCTGTATCTGGTTCTGCTGTAGGATGGGTGCTCATCATGGTATCTTCTAGACCTAGTTCTACTGTGGGATTTGTGCTCCACGTGGTACCTCCTGGACCTGGTCTTGCTGTGGGATGTGTGATCCTCATGGTACCTTCTGGACCTGGTTCTACTGTGGGATTTGTGCTCCACGTGTTACCTTCTGGACCTGGTTCTGCTGTGGGATGTGTGATCCTCGTGGTATCATCTGGACCTGGTTCTTCTGTTGGATGTGTGCTCCACATGGTACTTTCTGGCCCTGGTTCTGCTGAAGGATGTGTGCTGCCTCTAGGATCTGGTTCTGCTGAAGAACCCCTCTGGGTACTGTTCAGATTTAGTTCTGACACAGGACGTGTTCTCATGGTACCTTCTGCACCCAGTTCTGCACCCATAGGACGTGTGCTCCTCATGGGGCCTTCAGGACCTGGTCTTGCTGAAGGACGTGGATCCCAGGTGGTACCACCTGGCCCTAGTTCTGCTGTGGGACGTGTGCTCCATACAGTATCATCCAGGCCCAGTTCTGCTTCAGGACGTGCACTCCGTGTGCTGCCTTCTGGATCCAGTCTTGTTGGACGATGTGTGACCCCGATGTGACCTTCAGGACCCAGTTCTGCTGTGGGATATGCGCTCCCCATGGTACCACCCAGATCCAGCACTGCTGCAGGATGAGTGCTCCTTATGGTCCCCTCTGGACCTGGTCCTCCCACGTGGTGGTTCCTCCACGTGGTAGCACCTACTGGGAGCACCACGGTGGGGGCTGAGTCTTGCCCTGCTTTGGGCCGTGGGTGCCACCCATCGGTTTGGGTGGCACTAACAGGATCCCGTCCTACCAGCGTCTGGGTGCTCCTGGTGGCACCAACCAGATCCCAACCTGCTTTGGGCTTGATGCCTTGCGTGGTCCCCACCGAAACCCAACGTGTTGGGCTCATGGTGGTCTGTTTGGCCCCCACCACAACCCGCTCAGCTTTGGGCTGGGTGATCTGCACAGTGCTGAGCGGATCCTGTTCTGCTTTGGGGTGGGTGACATGGATGGTACCAATCTGATCCCGTCCTGCCTTGGACCTGTTGGTGCCAGATAGATCCTGTCCCACTTTGGCTTTAGTGGTGCCAACTGGATCCTGTCCTGCCTTGGATCTGTTGGTAGCAGGTAGATCTTGTCCTGCTTTGTGCTTGGTGATGCCAACTGGATCCCGTCCTGCCTTGGACGTGTTGGTGCCAGATAGATCCTGTCCTGCTTTGGCTTTGGTGGTGCCAACTGGATCCTGTCCTGCCTTGGATCTGTTGGTGCCAGCTGTATTCAGTCCTGCTTTGGGCTTGGTGATGCCAACTAGATCCTGTCCTGCCCTGGACTTGTTGGTGCCAGCTGGATCCCATCCTGCTTTGGGCTTGGTGATGGCAACTGGATCCCGACCTGCTTTAGACCTGTTGGTGCCAGCTGGATTCTGTCCTGCTTTGGGCTTGGTGATGCCAACTGGATCCCGTCCTGTCTTGGATCTGTTGGTGACAGATAGATTCTGTCCTGCTTTCACCTTGTTGATGGCAACTGGATCCCGTCCTGCCTTGGACCTGTTGGTGCCAGCTGGATCCCATCCTGCTTTGGGCTTGGTGATGGCAACTGGATCCCTTCCTGCCTTAGACCTGTTGGTGCCAGCTGGATTCTGTCCTGCTTTGGGCTTGGTGATGGCAACTGGATCCCGTCCTACCTTGGACCTGTTGGTAGCAGCTAGATCTTGTCCTGCTTTGGGCTTGGTGATGCCAACTGGATCCCGTCCTGCCTTGGACCTGTTGGTGCCAGCTGCATCCCATCCTGCTTTGGACCTGGTGGGACCACCAGGCTCCCGTCCCACCTTGGACCTGGTGGTACCAGCCGCACCAGGTCCTGCCTTGGGCTTTGTGCTTTGGATGACGCCAGCGGGATCCTGCTCTGCTTTGAGTCGGGTGATCCTGATGATACGAATGGGATCCCGCCCTGCTTTGGCTGGGGTGGTGCTGACTCGATCCCGTCCCGTGGGGCGCTGGGTGATGCTGGGGATGGTGCTGGATGGCTCCCGTCCCAACGGGCGTCGGGTAGTGCTGGGGATGGTGCCAACTTGATCCAGTCCTGGAGGCCACTGGGAGGTCCCCGTGGGTGATGGCAGGTCCTCTGGCCCTGCAAGAGTGAAGGGGGGGCTCAGTCCTTGTCCCAGCCCCATCCTGTGCATGTGGACCCCCCTATCCCCTCAGTGCCCCCAGGGTGATGTTCCCTGCTTGGGAACTCTGCCCACCCCCAGGGGCACCCAGGGCCAGAGGCTAGGGCATCCCTTGGGGACAGGGACTTGAGGACACATGGAGGGACCCCAGCAGGCAGGGGGGTGCACGGGGAGGGCTCTGTGCCCCCCCAAGACCTGCTCCAGCCCCCAGCCACGACACGGAGCAGGGATCAGGGTGTCTGCCCCGTCCTGGGGCCATCCCACCTGCGCAGATAACAGCGGCATCCTCGTGGTGGTTGCAGTTGTGCCTGCCCCAGGGCTCAGCTGGGCAGCGCCGCAGCGTGGGCTCCGTCCCCTCGCAGTTCACCTCATCCAGCCAGACAGGGCCAGTGCCGGGGCCGAAGTGGGCGCTGCGGGGGGCTTCACGCGCCACCCCACAGCCCAGCTCCCGGCAGACCACGGCCGCGTCCGGCAGCCCCCAGCTGTCATCGCAGACGGTGCCCCAGCGCCCAGCGTGCAGCACCTCCACACGCCCCGCGCAGCGCCCGGGGCCCCCGGCCAGACGGAGCTGGGCTGGAGCTGAAAAAGAGCTGGCGTCACACCACTGCTGGCCACCAGTGTCTGGGGATGGGGTCTCCGTCCTCGTTCCTTCATTACGGCATCCCGACTCCTTCCCCGTGCTCCTTCCCTTCTCCAACACCAGTTCCTGCCCCTCTCTGTCCATGTCCACGCCAAGTGATCCCAGCTCCATCCCTGCTCCATCCCCCTCAATCTCAACTTCATCCCCTCTCCATCTTTCTATCCCAGCTCCATCCCAGCTCTTTCCATGCCCCATTCCTGTTCCTTCCCTGCTCCATCCCCCCTCCATCCCCGGCTCCTTCCCTACTCTATCCCAGCCCTTTCCACCCTTCTTCCTTTCCAATCTCCAACCATGCCCCATCCCCACTTAATCCCAACCCCATCCCCACTCCATCTCTTCTCCTCCTACCCCTGCGCCCCATCCCAGCCACGGTCTGGCTGCTCGGGGCAGGCTGGGGAGAGCTGGGGGTGTGGGGCCGGGTGGTCTCGTGTGGCACGGCAGAGGGGGGCACCCGAGCTGGGCTGGTTGGCAGCTGCTGGGGACTGGGCTCCATGGGGTCCACAGCGGTCAGCTCATCTGGGTGATGCAGGAAAGCAGTGTGAGCCCTGCAGTGCACTGAGCATACGTGCCACACCTTGCCTGTCCATGCACTGCGCCCTGCAGCACTGCACTGCTCAATCACCAAATCTGCAATTTAGCCATGGCAGCCCCCTGCCCATGCGCTGCACCAGGACCGCGTGGGTGCCCACTGCACAGCCCCTGTGTGTCTCCACAGCACTGCACGCACTGCATGCAGGCCAGGAGCACACCGGGGCGTGTGCACGCAGCATGAGCACTATCCCCAGCAGCCAGGGCACCGCGCACGCCTGGCACACAGAGCAAGTACCTGCACAGACAACAGCCGCGTCCTCCCGGTGCTGGCAGTCCGTGATGCCCCACGGGGCAGCCGGGCACTGCAGCAAGGTTGACTCGTTCCCCTGGCACCGCACGTTGTCCAGCCAGATGGGGCCAGTGCCCTCGCCGAAAAATGCCCCACGGGGCGCAGCCAGCGCAGCACCACAGCCCAGCTCCTGACAGACCACAGCCGCGTCCTCAAGCCCCCAGCCATCATCGCAGACGGAGCCCCACTGGCCAGCATGCAGCACCTCCACGCGCCCCGCGCAGTGACCCTCGGCCCCCACCAGCCGCAGCGTGGGGGTCCCTGGGGAAGAGACCGGAGTCAGCAACAGTGCAGGGAGAACAATTCAAGTGCCACCCACCAGCAGGGTGCACAGGGACAGGCAGGGCTGTGGGCAGCAGCTCCTGGGTGTGGGTACAAAGCACACCAACGCTGTACCTGTGCATGCCACGCTGGTGTCCTCCATGTGCCCCATGCAGCGTCTGGGACCCCCAGCTGGCCGCGGTGTCATGTCACCTGCGAGACAGTCGGTGTCACTGTGGGGTGCACAGCGTCCCCTCCCCGTGTGGCTGGGGACATGGGTGTCCCTGGGGATACCACTCACCAGGTGCTGGGGTGCTGGTGGTTGTGGTGGAGGGCGGAGGGGGCTCCATGGTGCCCAGGGAGAGGAAGGGGTGAGCTGTGGGGAAAGGCAGTGGGGCGGGGGTCCCGTTTAGCTGGGAAAGAGCCTGGCAGAAAAAGACCTGGGGACATTGGTCAACAGCCAGGGAAGTGGCTGAGTCACGGGAGGTGTCCAAAAGACACACAGATGTGCCTGGGGACCTGGTTTGGTGCTCGACTTGGCAGTGCTAGGCTAACGGCTGGACTTGATGACCTCCCAGCTCTTTTCCAACCTTTGCGCTTTTACCATTTCTGCCTTTCCTCCCCCCCAGTGCCGGGGTCGCAGCCCACCTGAGCACACGGCGCTGGCGTCCTCCTCGTGGGTGCAGACGTGGCTGCGCCAGCCCCGGTGCCGGCACTGGGCCAGGCGCCCCTCACCGCCGCGGCACCGCAGCCCGTTCAGCCAGATGGGGCCGGAGCCTTCCCCGAACCAGGCGCCCGTGGGGGCGGCCAGCGCGGTGCCGCAGCCCAGCTCCCGGCAGACCACAGCCGCGTCCGGCAGCCCCCAGTCGTCGTCGCAGACGGTGCCCCAGCGCCCGGTGTGCAGCACCTCCACGCGCCCCGCGCACTGCCCGGGACCCCCGGCCAGGCGCACCGGGAATGGGTCTGGGGAGGGGAGCAGACATCAGGCAGTGGGGCTGCCGGCACCCACCGGGAACCCCCCGGGACCTGCTGGGACCCCTGCATGTACTGGGACATGCTGGGAGGCTCTGGGACCTACTGGGACCATGGCGTGCTCCAGGACTCTCTGGGACCTACTGGGACCCCAGTATGCTCTGGGACCTACTGGGATGTGCTGGGACCCTTTTGTGCTCTGGGACCTTCTGGGACCTGCTGGGACTCTTTACACACACCAAAACCCACTGGGACCTACTGGGACCCACTGGCACCCTGTGTGCTCTGGGAGATGCTGGGGACACCCAGACTTACTGAGACCTACTGGGACCCGGTGGGATCTACTGGCACCTGCTGGGAACCTTTCCACACACCAGGACACACTGGGACCCACTGGGACCTACTCAAACCCACTGGGACCTACTGGGAACTGGTATGACCCAGTGGGACCTGTGCATGCTGTGGAACCTGCTGGGACCCACTGGGATTTGCTGGGACCATTTGCACAGACCTGGACCTGTTGGGACCCACTGGGATCTACTGGGACCTGCTATGACCCAGTGGGACCCCTGCATGCTCTGGGACCTACTGGGTTCCCACACACCAGGACCCACTGGGAGTCACTGGGATGCACTGGGAGCCCTGCACACCTGGGGAACCACTGCAGGCCCCCTCAGGCTGGCAGTGACTGGGATGCACTGGTGCAGGTACCCCCCCAGCCCAGCCCTGCCCCAGTACCTGCACCGCGGGGGACCAGCAGCCCCACTGGAGCCGAGAGAGGAGGGTGAGGGGGGGCCGCAGCTGGCTGAGCCCCTCCTAGCCCCCACAGGGGGCCACGAGCAGCTTGGAGCCTGTAGGGGGCTTCCCAGTGCCCAGCACCATTTCACAGTCCCATTCCCAGTGCCCCGTGCCCTCAGACCAGTAACCAGTGTCCCACTCCCACTGCCCCATTCCCAGTGCCCAGTTCCCACCGTCCCACTCCCAGTGCCATTCCCAGTGGCCTTCCCATTGCCGTTCCCATGCCTCCATGCCCCATGCCCCCTAACCAGCAACCAGCGCCCCATTCCCAGTGCCCCATTCCCAGTGCCCCAAGAGCCATTCCCAGTGCCCCGTGACCACTGCCATTCCCACCACCCCATTCCCAGACCCATGATCAGTGCCCCATGACCATGCCCTTTCCCAGTGCCCAGTGCCTTTTCCATTGTCCTTCCCAGTGCCCAGCAACCACAGACCAGTGCCCAGTGCCCTTCCCAGTGCCCCATGCCCAGTGCCCAGTGCCCCACGTGCCCAGTTCCCTTCCCAGCACCCCATGCCCACCACAGCCCAGAACATCCAGTGCCCTGCACGGTGCCCCACAGCCTTCCCAGTACCCACCGCCCAGTGCCCAGCACAGCCTCCAGTACCCACTGCAATTCCCAGTGCCCTTCCCAGTGCCCCATTCCTCCCCCACTGCAGGGCTCTAACTGGGAGCAGTGCCTACTGCATTGCCTGGCACCCCCCATGGTGCTGCTGCAGTGCCCCCATGCAGTGTCCGGTCCCCTGCTGTGCCCCGAGCCACCCAGCCTCTTTGCAGTGTTCCTGCAGTGCCCGGCCCCCATGCGGTGCCCGGGGCAGTGCCCTTCCCTTTCCAGTGCCCGTTGCAGTGCCCACACCATGCTCAGTTCCCATGCGGTGCCTGTGCAGTGTCCAGCGCAGTGTCCGGCTCCCTGCAGTGCCCACGTGGTGCTCAGTGGGGTGCCCAGCACCATGCAGTGCCCAGCACCATGCAGTGCCTGGGTGCTCTCTGTGCAGTGCCCGTGCAGTGCCCAGCACCGTGCTCAGCCTCCCAGTGCCCATGCAGTGCCCGTGCAGTGCCCATGCAGTGCCCAGCCCCTTGTTGTCCTCACCCCTTAGCCATGCAGTGCCTGTGCCCAGGCTGTGCAGTGTGCAGTGCTCAGCTGCCCCATGCCGTACCCCCTGCTGCACCCACGCAGTGCTCGCCCCCTGCAGTGTCCAAGCCCTGCCACGCCGTGCCCAGCACAGTGCCCATGCAGTGCCCATGCAGTGCCAGTGCAGTGCGCCCTGCTGAATCTGTGCCATGCCCAAACCTCAGTGTCAGTGCAGTGCCCAGCGCTGGCTTCATGCCATGTGCACTGCAGTGCCCGTGCAGTGCCCGAACCCTCAGTGTCAGTGCAGTGCCCAGCGCTGGAGCCACATCACGGGCACTGCTGCGCCCATGCACTGTCCACGCACTGCTTGGTGCAGTGCCCATGCAGTGCCCAGCACAATGCCCATGCAGTGGCCTTGCAGTGACCATGCAGTGACCATGCTCAGCCCCCCCTGCCAGCCCCCACACCCATGCCATAGCCGTGCAGTGCCCATGCAGTGCCCATGCAGTGCCCATGCAGTGCCCGTGCAGTGCCCAAGCAGTGCAGTGCAGCGCGGTGCCAGGCGCTCACCCAGCAGCAGCAGGGTCGGGGCCATGGCGGGTGCCGGCGCGGGGAGGGCGGGATGGAGGAGCAGCAGCAGGAGGAGGAGGAGGAGGACGGGGACGGGGCCGCGCGGCCGGGCCAAGGATGACTCAGTCCGTCCGTCCGTGCGGCTGTGTGTCCGTCCAAGGCCGCACCCGGCCCCCCTTGGCTGGGATGAGAGGGGCCTTGGGGGGGGTGACACAACTTAGGGACCCCCCTGGGAGGGAACGCCCGGGTGCTGCTCCCCCCTTGCAGGCCAAGGAATGGGGAAGGGGGGGTCCCGGGGGGGCTGGGGTTAACGCTGGGGGGGCTCCGGCACGTGCAGGCGCCCACGCACCCACGTGGCAGGAGGGGGGGGGGATGGAGACGCACACGTGGCTGGGGGGCGCAGGGCCACGTGTGAGCACACTGGGGGGCAGTGGGGTCACACTGGGAGTCAGTGGGGTCAGTGGAGGCACACTGGGGGCCAGTGGAGTCATGTTGGGGGTCAGCAGGGTCAGTGGGGGCACGCTGGGGGCAGTAGGGTCATGCTGGGGGTCAGCAGGGTCTGTGGGGGTCAGTGGGGGCCCACTGGGGGCATTGGGGTCATGCTGGGGGTAAGTGGGGTCATAGGGGACACACTGGGGGTCAGCAGGGTCAGGCTGGAGGTGAGTGGGGTCAGTGGGGGCACGCTGGGAGTCAGTGGGGTCAGTGGGGGCACACTGGGGGGCATTGGGGTCATGCTGGGGGTCAGTGGGGTCACACTGGGGGCAGTGGGGTCATGCTGGGGGTCAGCATGGTCAGTGGGGTCAGGGGGGGCACACTGGGGTCAGTGGGGTTATGCTGGGGGTCAGCAGGGTCAGTGGGGGCACATTGGGGATCAGTGATACAAGTCATACAAGGGGGATCACAGGCGACATAATGGGCATCACTGGAGCCATACTGGGGGAGAGTGGGGCCGCACTGGGGGGGGGGCATTAGGGTGTAGGGGTCACAGGGGCTATACTGGGCGTCACTGGGTCATACTGGGAAGACTGGGGCAGTAGTGGGTGAGATATCAGTGGCATAATGTGGGGGGCAGCAGGAATATGCTGGGGAGGGGGGCACAGGGGCCATACTGGGGTACAGCAGGGCCTTAGTGTGACTGGGCCACATAAAGGGGGGATACTGGGGCCACACTGGTGGGCTGTATGGCCATACTGGGCATACTGGGGCCATACTGGGCATACTGGGGCCATACTGGGGCACAGCGGGGACACCAAGGGCTATGCTAAGGGGGCTACTGGGGCTACACTGGGGGCTTGTGGGGGGGTCCCCCGGGCTCGGTAGGGTCATACTGGGGAGCACTGGGCGGGGAGGATGGGGACAGAGGGGCCATACTGGGGGCACTGGTCCATACTGGGAGAGGAGCAGGCACAGAGTACCCGTGTGCGGGGCCGCACTGTGGAGCAGTAAGGCCGACCCTGGGCTCGGCAGGGCCGTGCTGGGGCCCAACTGGGCCGTACTGGGAGCTGTGGGGCTGTACTGGGGGGACGAGGCCCCCCCTCCCAGCACGCCATGGTCTGAGCCGCTCCCCCCCGCCCAGCCCGGCCAATGGAACCTCCCGGCCCCGCCCCCTAGCAACGGTCGCCATGGCGACGCCCCGCCCCTAGCAACCACCACTGGGGGGTAGCCCCGCCCCTGGCAACAGTCCCCATGGCAACGTCCCGCCCCTAGCAACCGTCACCAGAGAGGCCCCGCCCCCAGCGCCGCCCGGCCCCGCCCCTTTCCCCGCGCGGGAAGGAAGGAGGCGGCGCGCGCCAGCAGGGTCCGTTTATTGGGCGGGTCCGGGCGGAGCCGGTGCCACCGCGGCGCTGCCCCCCCGGCTCCCGCAACCCCGTGCTTATAGGGCCCCCCCCACCTCCCACCTCGTCCTGCTGCAGCACTGCGAGGGGTGGCCACTGGGGGCACTGGGTGGCCACTGGGTGGCTGTGGGTGGCCAGTAGAGGCCCCTGAGTGGCCACTCGGGCCACTGGGGTCTTTGGGTGGCCAGCAGGGGCCACTGGGTGGCTGTGGGTGGCCACTGGGGTTTTTTTGTGGCCACCAGGGGCCACTAGGTGGCCAGCAGGGGCCCTAGGGTGGCCACTGGGACCACTGGGTGGCTGTGGGTGGCCAGGAGGGGCCCTTGGGTGGCCCTTGGGTGGCCAGCAGAGGCCCCTGAGTAGCCACTGCGGCCGCTGAGTGGCTCTGGGTGGGCACTGGGGTCCTTAGGTGGCCAGCAGGGGCCACTGGGTGGCCACTGGGACCACTGGGTGGCTGTGGGTGGCCAGCAGGATCCCTTGGGTGCCCACATTAGCCATGGGGTGGCTGCGAGGTGGCCGTGAGGTGGGGGCTGCCGTAGCCCTGGGGGGGCCATGGTGGCCCTGGGGGGGCTGTAGTGGCCCTGGGGGGTCCGCGTGGCCACCCCGGTGGCAGCAGGGTGGCCATGGTGGCCATGGGGTCCGTGCTGCTCGCCCCCCCCTCAGAAGGTGTGCACCAGCTGCGCCCCCGGCAGCGCCTGCACCCCCTGCACCGCCGGCAGCTGAGGGGCCGGGGGGCCGGGCAGCAGCTGCACCATGGCCTGCGCCCCCCCCTCGCCACCCGCTGCCCCCCTCTCTCCCCGCCGCGGCTCCCCGCTGAGGACCAGGACTTTTGGGGGTCCCGCAGGGGTCCCGGCCGAGGGCTGTGCGCCCGCCCCCCGCAGCACCAAGATGCTCCGCAGCCCCTCCGCCGTCTGCAGCACCCCCAGCCCCATGGCCGGCGCCGCCCCCCCCTGCACCAGCAGCACCTCCGGGGCCGGAGAGCCCCCCGGCAGCGGCACCCCGGGGGGCTGCGGGGCTGGGGGAGCCCCCGCCGGGGGCTGCAGGTGGAGCGGGGGCACCTCCACGGCCTGCAGGTGGAGGTCGGGCACCTCCAGGGCTTGGAGCTGGAGGTCGGGCACCTCTGCGGGCTGCAGGTGGACGCTGGGGGCATCCGGGGGCTGCGGGAGGGTCTGAAGCTGGACGCTGGGGACTGGGGTGGCTTGAAGGTGGAGGTTGGGCACCTCGGTGGCTTGGAGGTGGATGCCGGGCACCTCGGCGGTCTCCAGTTGGACACTGGTCACGTCCGAAGTCTGCAGCTGGATGTCGGGCACCTCGGTGGCTTGGAGATGGACGTTGGCCACCTCAGATGGCTGTGACAAAGCTTGGAGCTGGACATTGGCCACCTCGGTGGCCTGCAGCTCGATGTCGGTGACCCCCGGGGGTTGTGGCAGGGTTTGGAGCTGGACGTTGGTCACCTCGGCGGCCTGCAGCTCGATGCTGGTGACATCCGGGGGCTGCAGCTGGACGTCGGCCACCTCGGTGGCCTGCAGCTGGATGTTGGCCACCTCCGAGGGCTGCGACAGGGCTTGGAGGTGGACGTTGGCCACGTTGGCCACCTCGGTGGCCTGGAGCTGGATGTTGGTGACCTTTGAGGGCTGCGGCAACGCCTGGAGCTGCACGTTGGCCACCTCCGAGGGCTGCGACAAGGCTTGGAGGTGGACGTTGGCCACGTTGGCCACCTCGGTGGCCTGCAGCTGGATGTTGGTGACGTCCGAGGGTTGTGACAAGGCTTGGAGGTGCACGTTGGCCACCTCAGCGGCTTGAAGCTGGATGTTGGTGACCTTAGAGGGCTGCGGCAGGGCTTGGAGATGGATGTTGGCCACCTCCGAGGGTTGTGGCAGGGCCTGGAGCTGGACATTGGCCACGTTGGCCACCTCGGTGGCCTGCAGCTGGACGCTGGCCACCTCAGCAGCCTGCACCTGGACGCTGGTGACATCCGAGGGCTGTGGCAGGGCTCCCAGCTGGACGCTTGCCCCCTCTGCTGCTGCCTGTCCCTGGGGGGCACCTGCCTGGCGTGGGGGCTGCTCAGGGAGGCCCTGCAGGAGGAGGACACCGGGACTTGGTCCCTGTGTGGTGCCAGCCACCGCCTGCAGCCGCAGCCCGGGCAGGGCCGTCCCCGTGCCGGGCACCAGCAGGAGGCTCTGCCCGGGCCCCGGAGGCTCCCCCTGGCGTGGGGTGGGCTCGGGGGGCGGCCGTGGGGCAGCGGGGAGCAGGATAAGCTTCTGCGGGGGCGGCGGGGGGCTGGGGATGAGCTGCAGGCCCTGCGCCGTCTGCACCAGCAGGAAGGTCTGGGCGTCGGGGGCCGCCACCTCCAGGCTGAGGGTGGCCTGCAGGACGGGGCCGTCGCGGGGGGCGGCGCGGGGGGGTCCCTTGGGGCCGGCGGCGTGGGTGCGGAGGTGGCGCTGGAGGTAGGAGGCCATGACGAAGGCCTTGGGGCAGAGCGGGCACTGGTGGGGGCGGGCGCTGGAGTGGGTGCGCTGGTGGAGCTGGAGGTTGGAGGAGTGGGTGAAGGTCTTGCCGCAGTGGGCGCAGGCGTAGGGCCGCTCGCCCGTGTGGGTGCGCTGGTGCTGGCGCAGGTTGGAGGTCTGCGCGAAGGCCTTGCCGCACACCGGGCAGGCGTGGGGCCGCTCGCCCGTGTGCAGCTGCCGGTGCCGGCGGAGGCACGAGGTGTTCTTGAAGGCCTTGGGGCAGTCGGGGCAGGCGTAGGGCCGCTCGCCCGTGTGCAGCCGCAGGTGGTACTGGTAGTGCGAGGACCACTTGAAGGTCAGCCCGCACTCGGCACACTTGAAGGCGCGCAGCCCCGTGTGCACCCGCTGGTGGATGGCGAGCAGCGAGGAGCGCTTGAAGGCCTTGGGGCACTCGGAGCACTTGTAGGGCCGCTCGCCCGTGTGGTCCCGCATGTGGTAGCGCAGCCCCGAGGAGCCCTTGAAGGCTTTGCCGCACTCGGTGCACTGGTAGGGGCGCTCGGCCGGGGCCGGGGCCACTGCGCTCGGCACCGGTTGGGGCCGCGGGGCCTCCGGCTGCGCCGGCGGTGGGTGCTGCTCGGCCGAGTGGCCCCGCTGGTGGCCCAGCAGCCCGGCCAGCTGCCCGAAGCTCTTGTGGCACAGCGAGCACTTGTAGGGCCGCTCGGCGGCGTGGCTGTGCCGGTGCCGTGCCAGCCCCGAGCCGTTCTTGAAGGTCTTGCCGCAGGTGGGGCAGCGGTGGGCTGCTGGCGTCGCCGCCGTCTCCCCCGGCGTGTCCGGCCGGAGGTGGCCGCGCTGGTGGCCCAGCAGCAGCTCCTGGGTGGCAAAGGCGAGCTGGCACTCGCCGCACTTCCAGAGCATCCCCACCGCCTCCACCGCCTCCAGCAGCAGCGGCGGGGGCTGCGGCGGGGGCGGCGCGGCGTGGCTCTGCAGGTGCTTCTGCAGGCAGGCGTCCGAGACAAAGGCCTTGGGGCAGGCCGGGCACTTGTGGGGCCTGGCGGCGGCGTGGGTACGCTGGTGCAGGAGGAGGTTGGAGGAGTGGGTGAAGGTCTTGCCGCAGTGGGCGCAGGCGTAGGGCCGCTCGCCCGTGTGGGTGCGCTGGTGCTGGCGCAGGTTGGTGGACTGGGTGAAGGCCTTGCCGCAGGCGGCGCAGACGTAGGGCCGCTCGCCCGTGTGGATGTGGCGGTGCCGGCGGAGGCTGGAGGAGTTCTTGAAGGCCTTGGGGCAGGCGCTGCACTTGTAGGGCCGCTCGCCCGTGTGCTGCCGCAGGTGGTACTGGTAGTGCGAGGACCACTTGAAGGCCATGCCGCAGAGCGCGCACTTGAAGGCGCGCAGCCCCGTGTGCACGCTCTGGTGGATCTGCAGCAGCGAGGAGCGCTTGAAGGCCTTGCCGCACTCGGAGCACTTGTAGGGCCGCTCGCCCGTGTGGCTGCGCTGGTGGTAGAGCAGCGCCGAGGAGCCCTTGAAGGCCTTGGGGCACTCGGAGCACTTGTAGGGCCGCTCGCCCGTGTGGGTGCGCTGGTGGTGGATGAGGCGCGACGACCACTTGAAGACCTTGCCGCACTCCAGGCACTCGTAGGGGTGCTCCCCGCTGCCCGACGCCGCCCGGCCCCCTGCCAGCTCTGGCTGCTGCGCGCCCACCATGGCGGCTGCCCTGCGGAGATAGGGTGGGGATGGGGGTGCTGCACCCGGCTGGAACGGGGATGGTGGGGACAGACCCTGGGGATTGGGATGGGGTTGGGGACTGGGAGTGGGGCTGGCTGAAGGGATGGGGATGGGGATGGGAAGGGGGATGGGGATGGGGATGGGAACGGGGATGGGGATAAAGATAGGGACAGGACGGGGATGGGGATGGGGACAGGGAGGGGGACAGCAAAAGGGACGGGGATGGGAATGGGGATAGGGATGGGAATGGGGATGGAGATGAAGAGGGGGACATGGATGGGGATAGGGACAGGATGGGGATGGGGATGGGGATGGGGATGGGGATGCGGACAGGACAGGACAGGACAGGACAGGGATGGGGACAGGGACAGGGAGTGGTGCTGGCTGCAGGGACTGGGATGGGGATGGGGAGGGAGATGAGGATGGGGACAGGGATGGGGACAGGGATGGGGATAGGGACAGGACGGGGATGGGGATGGGGATGGGTAGGGGGATGGGGAGGGGGATGGGGATGGGAAGGGGGATAGGGATGGGGAGGGGGACAGGACGGGGATGGGGATGGGGACAGGGACGGGGACAGGGAAAGGGACGGAGATGGGGATAGGGATGGGAATGGGGACAGGACAGGAATTGGGATGGAGATGAAGAGGGGGACATGGATGGGTAGCGGGATGGGGAGGGGGATGGGGAGGGGGATAGGGATGGGAAGGGGGATGGGGACAGGATGGGGATGGGAATGGGGACAGGAATGGGGACAGGACAGGGATGGGGACAGGGACAGGGAGCGGGGCTGGCTGCAGGGATGGGGATGGGGACGGGGATGGGGACAGTGCTGGGGAGCAGGGCTGGCTGCAGGGACCACGACGGGGATGGGGAGGGAGATGGGGATGGGGACAGGATGGGGATAGGGACAGGACAGGGATGGGAAGGGGGGAGGGGGATGGGGACAGGGCCTGGCCGGGGGGGGGCAACCCAAGGGACACGGGCAGGGGGCGTGGCCGGACCCGTGGTGGGCGTGGCCATGCCGGCGATGGGCGTGGTTATGCAGATGAAGGACGCGGCCGGGCCAATGGCAGTGGGCGTGACCAGCCCGTGGTGGGCGTGGCCAGACAGCCGCTGGGCGTGGCCTCCCGGGCGGTGGGCGTGGCCCCGCGGGGCGGAGGGGGCGTGGCCACCGCTCCGCCCCCCGCCCGCCCCTCCGCCTGCGGGCAGGAGACCCCAGCGGCCGCGCGCCCTTTAAGGCCCCGCCCCCTCCGGCGCCCGGCGCAGGCGCCGCCGTCACCGCCGCGGCCCGGCCCTGCCCGGCCCCGCCCCGCCCCGCGCCGCCGCTCACCTGGGCGGGGGGGGCCCGCGGCTCCCCGGCCCCGTCCCGCGCGGGCAGGGCCCGCTCCGGCCTCTCGGCGGCCCCGACGCCCGCCCGCCCCCGGCGGCGCGCACGGCAACGGCGGCGCCCCCGCGCACGGCCCCGCCCCCGGCCCCGCCGCGCGGCCCCATTGGCCGCGGGCCCCCGCGCGGGGCCGCCTGGGAAATGTAGTCCGCATCGCCGCCATCTTGGCGCCGGCGGGGGGGGAACGGGGGGCACGTGACCGCCCGGTGCCTACCGGGGAGGCGGCGTGACGTCACTGCCGGGCCGGGGAGCTCCCCCAGTCCTCCCAGTACTCCCAGTGCTCCCAGTTTCCCCCCAGACCTCTCAGTACCTCCCAGTACCTCCAGTGCTCCCCCAGTTCTCCCAGTGCCCTCCCAGTGCTCCTAGTGCCCCCCAGTGCTCCCAGTGTCCTCCCAGACCCCCCCAGTGCCTCCCAGTACCTCCAGTGCTCCCCCAGTTCTCCTCAATGCCCCCAGTGCTCCCAGTGCCCTTCTCTAGTGCCCCCAGTGATCCCAGTACCCCCCCCCCCAGTTCTCCCAGTGTCCTCCCAGACCCACCAGTGCCTCCCAGTGCCCTCCCAGTGCTCACAGTGCTTCCACAGTGCTCCTCAGTGCCCCCAGAGCCACACAGAGCTCACAGTCCCTCCCAATGCCCTCCCAGTCCCCCCCCCCAAAGTGCTCCCCAGTACCCCCAGTTCTTCACCCAGTGCTCCCAGAGCTCCCAGTGTCCCCAGTGCTTCCCCAATGCTCCCAGTGCCCCAGCACTCTGTCCCCAGCCCCTCTGCACCCCCCCCCCAGGACCCCCAGGGCACAAGGGAGCCCCCACACGCCACAGCTCATGGTAAAGCAAATTGTAAAGCGGCTATGCCTTTATTCTGGCACCGGGACTTTGAGGCATAATTCCTCAAAGTTAGGCTCACTCCAAACAATGCGTGCCCTAGCTATATACGGTGTAACTTTACATGTGCATTAATTTTCATAATGCACTTATGCATATTCATAATGCCCGTCTTATATTATAATTAGTTCCGAGAGCTGATCTACATGAGGTCCTGCTATCTGCGCCTGCGTACTGCTCTGGCAATCATCTCTGGTGGTCTCTTGCGATGAAGTCAGGCTCTTCCTTCCCCATATCTGAAATTTTCACCTTTTCCCCCTGCGCTTGTGCTTTGAAGTCCTTGGCCTTGGTCCAAACTACAGGAGTGGTTTCAGCTGGTTCTTGAAGCAGGCTCTGCATCTTTCACAGAATCACAGAATCACAGAATTTCTAGGTTGGAAGAGACCTCAAGATCATCGAGTCCAACCTCTAACCTAACACTAACAGTCCCCACTAAACCATATCCCTAAGCTCTAAATCTAACTTTATCAGGAGCTGTCCTTTGTGAGGGGCCCCAAAACTTCTTGCTTAGGTTAATTTGCACAGTAGTTAGCAGCAAAATCTACTAGTTCACTACAACAATCTAGGTATTTATTAATCAGCATCCCATCTACTAAGAGTCTCTTAACTCCCCCTCTCAGTGTGTGCAAGTGTGTGTGTGCACGCTCGTGTGAACGTTTGCATGTGTGTGCATGCATGTTGGAGTAAGAAACAGGTGCTAAAGGGTTAACTGTGGAACTAGAGCAGGTCTGGACAAGTCACCCAGTGATGATTTTGCAAGTTTTGGCCAAAATCAGCCACAAGGACAGGAGTGAAGCATGGAATATCTACAAGACGGCCCCAGAAGATGAGGGACGTCCACAGCCCAGACCAGTGTGCAAAATGATCAAACATGAGGTAGCAGAAAGGTCATGATGACTTTATCCCACGCTTCACAGATAAGAATACATGGCTTTCAGTTGCCAGCCTGTTATTTTTCAAGTTTCTTTCGACTTTTTTTACTCAGTGAGGTGGCAATGTTTCTTTGCTTATCTGATCTGACACCATGATTTTCGCCTAATTGCACTCAGGAGTCCGGTTGTCTGTGTTTAACAAGGTTTTCTGGTAAGCTTTCTCATCACAGCAAGCACATCTCAACACCACATTCCTTCCTCCTAAACAATGTAACATCTCTGAAAAAAAAAAAAAAAAAAGCTCTTTCTTACAATCCCCTAATTTTTCTCTCTACTATCGTGTTGTTTTTGCATTTTATTCAATTACAAACTCAGTGTCATCAGTTAGATCCTGAATTACTAGGAGAATCTTTTCTGTTTGCCTGTTAATAGTTACTATCTTCACAGAGTTTAGGATTTACCTTTTTTCAAATTAATCATAAAAGAGATTAAACAAGTCATTACCAACCCAAGGAAGGTGGGTTTCTAGCACTATTTTCGTTAATTGCTTCTTTAATGTCTAGTTCATTCGCTCCACCTTCCCAGAAGAGGAGGGTTACCAGGGAGCACTTGATGTAAAACAGTTAATATTTGCTTCATTAGCACTTTATTCAGCATTTCTCAACCATCAGAAAGTATTCATTTTCCTTCAGACTTCGGGGCTCACGATTCCTTAAAAAACAAAACAAAACAAAACAAAATAAAAACAAACAACAAAAAAGTTTCTCTTAAAACTTTGTAGTTCTTCCTTAGTTTTGGGTAGGGGTAGCCCAACCCTGAATCCTCTCTGGATTTATTCTTCGTTTTCTCTCAGACATTAGATGCCCAAAATACTTGACTTTTCTTTCTACATATTATAATTTGTCTTCCAATACTTTCAAGCCCTGTTTTCCCAGAAATTCAAATAGCTTCTTAGTGGCTTCCTTCACAGCTGTTTTCTCCTGTGCTGACAATAAAATAAACATCCACATATTGTGACAGTAACACCTCCTTGGGAGGTTGGAATTGCTCAAAAATTTCTTCTAGAACTTGCCCAAATAAATTTGGTGGCCCTGTAAGCCCCTGAGGTAAAATTGTTCATCTGTATTGCTGTTTCTGCCCTATTTCAGGGTCTTTCCTCTCAAAGGCAAATATATCTTTGCTCTCAGGATCTGAGAACACTCCACTAATAACACCATTATTCCAGCCTAACAATTTACTATTTGAATGCCCAATTTCATCATCAAATCCTTTCCCAACTAGTTAGTCCCTGCCTCGGGTGCATACAATAATTGCCCAGTGATCATTTTATCCCCTAGTCTCTGCTTGGTGGCCCTCAAAAGTAGCAGTCATCCCAGCCCCTTTTATCCCCATCACATTGAGGGTTTAATTAGTTAATTTAAGCTGATATTTTACAGGCCAGCAATGGCCTACTTGCCCCAGTGTACTGGATTTATGTGGCAAGGTTCTTGTAGCAGTGGTAGCCGCTGTTGAAGTAAGAAATAGATGCTAAAGGGTTACCTGCAGAACTATTGCAGGTCTGGAGAAGTCACCCCATGCTGATTTTGCAAGTTTTAGCTAGCAGGGATGTATATCGCAGAATAGCCACGTGGTCCTGGAATGGTCCTGGAAGATAAGGGATATCTATAGCCCAGGCCATAGTAAACACTAATTAGCAAGAAAAGCAATAAAATGGGAAGATAACACATTCCCTGTGAAGCAGGAACCGGTTTAGCCGAGTTTTGCTCATGAGGTAAAAAGCCCCTAGTGAGGAAGATGTACAGCCTTCATCCCAAAGACCCTGGCCCCCGACCACCAGAAGAGTCTACAAGTGGGCAGCCAGGAGGAATGCCAGGAGGCAGAGACGATGGAAATGATTTCTCATTGGAATAAAGAACTCATTGTAATAAAGACCGCCCCTTTGGGGAGAGGTTATGAATATTTATAGGCGTTTCCTTTACCGTGTAACCCCTTCTGTATAAATACAAGAGGAACTACCGCGATGGGCGTGCAGGATTGTGGTGGGCTGACCCCCCTGTGCTGCCCAGCGCTGAACAAACATACCTACTTTACAACTTTACTGTCTGCGGAGTTAATTCCAAAATCCATCAATTTTGGTGAGCCAGGCAGGACACAACTCTGCTCGGCTGCGGGACTGACTGTGGAGTGAACGCCCCTAGGTGCACCCCGAGCATTTTCCTTCAAGGAACCTCTGCTCCCAGCTGCTCACCTCAGGGGTAGACAACAACATCCTGAACCCACGGATAAATGGGATGTTTTACAACGGGACCAGTAAATCATAGAGAATACCTACGTTTGGCCAGGGCTGCCAATAAACCACAAAGAGACGTCTGGAGTACGGCATAGTCCCTGTACGGGACAAAGGTAGCCTGCGGGTCCGTGGGGATTTCCTGAGTGATAAAGTGGTCAAGGGGATTTGCTGACTGATTTTGGCTGCAAGCGATCTTGGGACCAGATCGAGCAAATCCAAAGTTACTGCTGCATCCCAGTATCAAGAGCCAGGACGGACCTGCTAAAGGTTGTATAAGAAGTACAAGAAGGGTAAATGGGCTTCTCACAACTGTGACACAAACACCTGGGTAATATTTGCAGCTGCTGGAGGGGTAATAACTGTAGTAATGATTGTCTGTCTTATTTGTGAATGCCCAGGTATCTCGTTTTGAAAGTATTTGTAAAAGTGCATGTGTTTGAGACAAAGTATTGTTGTGAAGTGAGTGGCTCTGTGAGGAACACGGCCAGAGCCTATACAAACGAGTTCGGTTGTTGTTCTAAGTGATATATTCTTGTGATATGAACGAGAAGTGCGAGGGGCCTCTTGGTGTGACTGCTGTGTGAGTGCGGGGTTCTGCTCCGTGGTTCTGTATTCTCTGCGAGGGGAACGGCCGGAGACAAGCAAAGAGTGCGACAGAGCGAAAGGAAGTGCTGTTTTATCCAAGTATTGATTAGTGGTGCCCAATACACGGGCCTGGTGGTGTATCTTGTAATCCTATTTTGTTCTGAAACGTTTTGAGTGTGACAAAGAGGAAGGCGGGAGCATTATCTAAGTAACAGTTTAGAAGTTTTGGTATATTCACTGTGATGTTTGGTCAATTTCCCAAGTATCTGGGGTGAAAGGGGGGCTGACTGATTATCAAAGTGATAAGAGAGGTGGTTTGAGCTTGAGTCCTGGAGGAATTTGGCTAGGAGAGGGGTAGAGCAAATTTATTTAGGAGAAGCGTATTTAACACCCAGCAGACAGAAAGTGGACTTAGATTGGGAACAGCCTATCCCCAATACCTTTTTAAACCCTGATATTGTCGGATAAGTAGGAGTGATTCCTTGTTTTGTGTGGGGTT